TTTTTTTTTTTTTTTTTTTTTTTTTTTTTTCTCAGTACGGACATCCCACTGTGAGAGCTTCAGCAGGGCAGATGGACAGCAAGGAAATGACTTCAGAACAAAGGGAAAATTCCTCTGAGCAGAGGCAGAAAGGTTCTTTTTGGGCACTGCAGGAGCAGGGGCGGCTGCTGGGCTGGCACAGGAAGGGGCGGGTGGGTATCGAGGATGGGATCAGTCACTGCAATGAGCACACGCTGCACCAGTGCCTCTGTTCCTGGGGATAAACACCGAAATGCCATTAAAACATTGCCCGGGACAGAGATTCCTGCCTTAATTTTCATTTGCACTCAGGCAAAGCACACTCAAATTCCAAGGAAAGTGAGGAAAAACACTGCAGTGGCTGCAGACCAGATGAGCCAGAATTCCAAGTTTTCACTATCATAATCTTTTATTGCACAACAGAGCCTTTATATCTGCATTTTCTTCTATGTGTTTTAAATAAAAACCATACAGACTATATATTACCCGAACTGAAAAGTCAAAAATATTAAGAAATAATACACTGCAGTACTCACAGTATTGAACACCACGCATCAACATAATTATTAACAAAACACATTTGGAGATAATTCCAAACCCTGATCGTTAGCATCCAGGCTGGATTTTCAAAGGCATTACGGGTTACAATGCATAGACACATACAATTTATAATTCAGCAAAACAAAATCCACTTATAAAAGTCACAGTGAAAGTGGAGGTAAACTTATATTAAGCTTGTGTAAGTAAAATGACTATGAACTGCTGTTCTGGAAAGTGATTTCCAGTTAGAGAATTATATACAGGAGATAATAACAGAACGGAATTATCCTTTGAAATCAGCTTATTTGCAGAAAGATAATGAAAGACTGGAGGTTGTTGGGTTTTTTTTTGTCATAGCCCAAAATTAACAACCATCTTGGGTCCTCTGCGCCGTGTGTAAAAACCTAAAAACACCTTCAGGGCTCAGTAACGCCAACCACAACTTAAAGCCAGTGGGGTCTATAAGTTGTCCAGGATAAAGCAGTCATTAAAAGAAGTGAAAAAAATGAAAGAAGTAAAAGAAGTGAAAGAGTATCCCAGAGTTTAGAATGAGTTAAGGGATCATTTTGTTGCAGTGTCTGCTCTGAAATCTGCCCTTACCTGCCAGGCAGTTGTGTCCCAAGTGACCACCCTGCTTTTCCAGGCAGAAAAGAAAGATCCATCGAGGTGCTATAAATGAGATTCAAGCAGTGTGACCCTGCAAGACTCTCCTGTCCCTGCTGCAATCCACAGCCACTGGCTTTTCTCACCCTTGGATCTCCCAGAACCACGACTCGATGGCTTTACACAGTGGAGGGCTCACAGAAATGGGCAGCACAAGAGCTGAAACCACACACCAAGAACAGCTCTGCAATGGGAGCAAGCGGCTGTGACAGGAATTTTTTCCCTGCTGCCACTTCCATCATCCCCCTCATCATGTCCCAACAATGAGCAGTGAGGATAAACCTGGCAATGAGGGCTTGCAAATGCCAAATGAAGCTACAAAACCTTTAATTATAATGAAATAATTAGCTTTTTTAGGGAAAAAGAAAACAACCAAACTGATCCATCATTATAGGTTAAAATACAAATTAAAAATCCAGCCCATGCCCCACAAGGACCACAGAGGATCTGTATGGCACAAAGGCTTCCCAGACCAAAGCTGGCAGCACCTTCACTTTCCTCTGAGGAGGATGGAAGGTCAGCAAGGAATATTTCAGATTCCTGTGCAGAATATTGAGTATTCAAGTTAAAAGTCTACACCAAGTCCAAAATTATTTTTAGATATTTTTTTAAATACTTAAGCTCAGCAGCCATTAAGTGGCTGCTGTACATAAACACCTTTTCATGTCATTTTTCAGTGCTTCAAAATGGTTATTATTTTTTTATTTTCCTATTATTATTTCCTTTTTTTCCCCTTCCTATTTCACAAGCATAAAACAGATGCAGAAACATTTCATGTGCTGTGGAATTGGCCAGCTCACTCCATATGAGAGCTCCCTTTGATCCCTGTTAACAACCACTCCACGATGGATATAAAGGGAATGTTAAAAACATTGGTATTGTCATGTTTTTTGTTCACACACAGCAATGTAAAAAATATTTAACAATTCTAATTTTAAATACACATCCCTCAACTGCCCCACCATTCCTCCAATATTCAAATTGACAGGAGACCATTTATTGCTCACAAACACAGGGATTTGGGAGTGTGAGAATGGAAAAATGGCTTTGTAGATGATAAAGTGGCAAAAAAAGCTAAGGGAGCACAGAAAAATATGCATTAGCAAAAAAAAACCTTGTCTAATATCATCTGACTTTAAGTCTAAAATAAAGTTTAATATCACAGAATGTAAAAAGAGTCAGTAATAAAATAATATACACTAAATATTCTCTTACTCCTGTTAATAGGAACATACAGACAGGATTTTCTTATTTACCAAAAGCCTTTGTAAATGACCTGATTCTAAAGAGCTTTTTTCTTTTGTAGATATTGTAAACATTTAAAATTTCTAAGGCTAAAAACAGGCACAAGTCTTCCATGAACAGTTATTATTCCTAAAAGCATTAAGGAATATATTCCAGATCTATTCCTTTTGATAACAACAGAAATAATTGAAGTACAACATTATAATTCACAAGGTTGATTCTTAATTAAAAAAGAAATACAGCTTAACCCTGACAACAATTAATAATATATAAGGAATATTCTTTTTTTTTTTAAAGTACCTAGTACATCAAAATGACATTTCCAGAATCTTTGTGCTGGGTGTGACTCAAACTTTATAAAGCTGAAAGAGGAACTAAAATATTTCTAAGAGGGTAAAACTGAAACGTCAGCTTTAGTAGCACCCCAGATTCCCAAAAATGCAGGAAAAATCTGCAATTCCATCCTGGAGCCACGTGGTTGGTGGCACCTTTTAGCAGATGTTCAGCCACTCCCCTCCATCCTTTGCATGAGGTGATTTTGTTTTGTGCCTCGTTAAGGTACCTGAGCCAACAGTCTGATTTCAGGCTGCTTTTCAAGTTTCCAGAGGTTTTCCCAACCCCTGCCAGCAGGCTGATCCCAAGGAATGTGAGCAGCAAGGCAACTGCCAAGAAGTGTCCTTTTAGTGCCACCACACTCACCACCAGGTGAGATCCTGAAAGAACATTTGTCCTCTGGAAGTCCTTTCATCACTTTGCTGAGCCACAACTCATCACCAGGTGAGTTCTTGAGAGATCTTGAAAGAACATTTGTCCTCTAGAAGTCCTCTAACCCCTTGATGTGCCACCACAAGGCGATCTTGAAAGAACATTTGTCCTCTAGAAGTCCGTTCATCACTTTGCTCAGCCAGAACTCACCACCATGTGACATTGAAAGAACATTTGTCCTCTAGAACTCCGTTCATCACTTTGCTCAGCCAGAACTCACCACCATGTGACATTGAAAGAACATTTGTCCTCTAGAAGTCCTTTCATCCCGTAGCTCAGCCCTAACTCACCACCAGGTTATCTTGAAAGAACATTTGTCCTCTGGGAGTCATTTCATCACTTTGCTCAGCCACAACTCACCACCAGGTGACACTGAAAGAACATCTGTCCTCTAGAAGTCCTCTCACCCCTCGATGTGCCACCACAAGGCGAGCTTGAAAGAACACATGTCCTCTAGAAGTCCCTTCATCCCTTAGCTCAGCCACAACTCCCCACCGGGCGACCTTGATAGCACGTTTGTCCTCTGGGATCCTTTGACGCTTTTCTCAGGCCAGCCTCACCACCAGGTGATCTTGAACTCGTAGATGGGCCGCTTGCAGTAGTAGTGGTTGATGAGGTGCTTGTCGCAGACGCCGATGCACTGGTGGTCCACGGTGATGCCGCGGGCCGACAGGTCGGTGACGATGCAGTGCAGGAGGTCGTAGACGTCGGCCACGGCCTCCCAGGGCCCGAAGGACACGTCCACCTCGCAGTGGTGCTCGAAGAGCTTGGCCTCGCTCTCGCTGCGCTCGAAGCGCAGCGAGTTGAAGTGCGGGCACTCGTAGGGAGTGATGGGCATCTCCTCCTTGAACACGCACACCTTGAGCTTGGCAAACCTGGCCTTCCTCTGCATGGCCCGCAGCTTGGCTATCTCGATGATCCGCTCCAAGTGGTCTGGAAGAGAGAAAGACTTGAGGGTCCCGACGGGTGGCCGAGGAAAAGAATCAAAAGCAATTATTTTGTGTCAAATGGTTCACTGCAGTTGTTCTCAGCATATTAGCAGCATGTAGCAAATCAATCTCAGTTATCTGGTGAGCTTGGTGGCCTTATTATATCAAAAATACATATTTTAACATATTACATAATTATATAATTTAAATGGTATGTATTTATAGTCTATAATTACATATCATAATTATATATACTAAAATTATATATAATATAATCTATTATATAAGATATATAATAAAATATAGCATAGTCAAATCAATCTCGGTTATCTAGTGAGCTTGGTGGCCTTATTGCATAAAAAATATAAATTAATATATTACATTATTATATAAATTATATATATTATATGATACACACTATATAATTACATAAAATACAGAATAATCGAATCAATGTTGGTTATCTGGTAAGCTTGGTGGCCTTATTATATAAAGTATATAAATTAAATATTACATATATTAAATATTTTATTAAACATTTATTTAATATTTACATACTAAATATAAAATATATACATTTATATATAATATAATTATAATATAAATATAATATTATAAAATTATATAAAATTTAGAATAATCAAATAGATCTCAGTTATCTGGTGAGCTTGGTAGCCTTATTATATAAAAAGATATATAAATTTATTATATAATGATATTATCCATTATCTGTATAATATTATTATATAAAATACAGAATAATCAAATCAATCTTGGTTATCTGGTAAGCTCGGTGGCTTTATGATATGCCCAAGTTATCTGGCCTCACTGCAAGGCCAAGTTTATTCACTTGCAATCCTGACAGAACAAATGCAGACAAACCCTCTCATTTAATAACATTACAGCCTCATCTTGCTCCCTTTTAAGCACAGAAATCCCCACCCTGGGATGCAGCAGGATGTGGAGACCTCAAAGATCCAAACAGCATAAAAAATACAGAATAAACTTCCCAGCTGCAATGGGATCATTCTGGGAGCTGAGAGCAGACTGAAAGGTTTAACACCGGAATCCCACTAGAAGAAACAGTCAGTGCTATTTGTTTATTTACCTTTGTAATATGGCATTAGGCCCAGGAAAGCTTGTCTAACTTTTTCTCCTTTAAGAGGCTGGATATCCTCTAGATTGTCTAGCAAGGGTCCTATGGAATAATACTGAGCTTCCTTGTACACTGACCTCACTCGCTCTCGGGGGGGCAGGTCACCAGATCGTAGGAAGTTTAGTATGTCTCTAAAAAAAAGAAAAGGGGGCAAAAATATCATTAACAAACACATTTCTGCCAAAAGTGCTGCAGGTGGGAAAGGACAGGAAATGCTAGATATTCATTGTTTGCTCTATTGAGACAGTAAATGAAATAAATGGGCCATATTCCCAACATTTGTTTGTAAAACTGTTTGCCACGTTCGGGTTTCCAAGCCATTATTTCACATTTTGCCTCAGCTGATGTCAAAACTCATTTGAAAAAATATCAGTGGATTTTAAACCAAACATTCAATGTGGAGGAAACCATTTATAACACAGAAGAAGCCAGAGTGTTTCATGGGAAACAAATTGTGGTCACTGCATTTCAAATTTAGGTCTGGGACAAAATAAACTTTTGCATTTTCCCAGAGAATCATTTTCATGGACATTTTATTCCACACAGATCCAGCTGAATGGATGGGACATCTGCAAACGAGGTTTCTCATCACAGATCAGGGCCAGTTACAGAATAATAATCAGATTTTTTTTAAAAGTGAGAGAACATTTCCTCATAGTTCTGAAACACTGTTCAGCAACAGGATTTTTTGACAGGGAAATAAATCACTTTTTAAGTATTAACCAACAAAACCCTTATCAAATAAACAAAAAAATCACTTTATAAGTGTTAACCAAGAAAACCTTATCAAATGAAAGAAGCATTACTGCAATCTTAGAATGACAACAAATACAGCACGTGCTAATGTGGCCCTCTGTTCCAGCTGTATTTTCAACTGAGGTTGATAATATCACAAATTAATTGATTTTTCAATTGCCTCATGTAAAGACAATTATTTTAGAATAAACACAGTGGCTTGATCTATCTCTGTCCCAGATTATGGTACAACACAAAAGCGCTTTGAAAATAATTCAATGCTCCTCTGTTAAAGGCAATAAGGAAATGTCTATAAAGGGACAAGAAACTTGGGAGAAATTGCAATGTGTTCTTTGGGCAAAGACCTGAACCCATGAATACTGATCACTTTTTTTAGCAATCTCACCCCAATTCAAACATAGCATTAGTAGTCATGGTTAGTGTAAATAAAAATAAAATAAAAGCTGAACAATTAGGAAGGAATCCTGGAGGTGAAGGAATACAGTACTACCAACAAAAATAATTTAGAAAAAGAAATTCTTTAAAGGCCTGTGCTTTATTTTAGCAGTTATATCCTGTTTAAAGATTGAAACGTCATATTTTCAACTGTGCAAGAATCCTAGATTTATCCCTTCCATTCCCTCTTCCTTACAGATACTGAATATCAATTAAAACCCAGTGCTGTGCAAAGGAGTTTCCTATTTCCAAACGCTTCTTTAAACCATCAAAACAACTTGATACCTTGAAAGGAGATACTCTAGGGGAGACAATGCACAAATTCGAGGAGATACTCTAGGGGAGACAATGCACAAATTCAAGGAGATACTCTAGGGGAGACAATGCACAGATTCAAAGCATTTCTTGTTTTTCCTTTCCCATTGCACAACCAACAAAGAATTTTTAGTTGCAGTTACTCCTGTGATGCTTTGAAGGCATGCAATGTTCAATGCTGCGCTTTAAGGGGGGAAAAAGCCTGTTAAAAACAAGTTTAACACTAAGTTTTCAGTAAGAGCTTCCCAAGCTTGCCCTGAGGATCGGTACATACCCGAAGTAGGTGCCATCCCGGTCGATGAAGTACCTGCCCTCGGCGTCCGTGGGGATGTAGTGCCTGCCACTGAACATGGCTGCCAGCATGGTGTCCTCGTACCTGCGCAGCGTGGACAGTCTGGTGGTGAAAAACATCCCCCCCACGTTCAGTGGGACAACTTCTGGGAACTGCAAAAGCAACCAGGACATCAGAAAGGAGCTGCCAGTCCTCCGCAGGTGACAACGGGCACAGCTCCCAAAACGCGCTGCAGTTTGCCACCGGGACAAAGGTGTGGTTACTGACCCACTGCCACGGGTCAGGGAGCTCTGAGGAGGAAAAATGTGGATGCTTTGGCTGCTGGGAGGAATCGGGGAGTGGTTTAATTGTAGCTGGGAATCTGAAACAGCAGAAATCACTCAGCTGGAATGGCAGATATTTGAGATATTAATGCCTCCTCTTGGCTCTTTTGGGGAAAAGGAAAGAACAAAACAAAACCTTTTCCCCAGCCTTACACAGAGAGAAAAAATAAGGGAAGAAATCTTAGGTCAGCCTTGGGATTTGCTCTCTGCTGCTCCCTTTACACAACCAGATTCTATTATACACTGAAAAAAATTGCATTTGTTTACATCAGGCCTAAAATCTTACTATCACACTCAGACTGCCTTAAGTACCAGAATAAACACTTTAATTGCATGTCTCAAGTCCAAACCTGGATGGAACTTGTACGTGAAGCTGCCGAGCTACTCAAATGCATTTAAGAGAGAGAGTTTTATTCAAACGTGTTAAGCGAGCTGAAGGAAATCCTGAATTCTTCAGCACCGGAGCAGTCTGTGCTGCCGCCATCACCCCCGGCCCAGGTGAGCTCTTACCTGCTGAGGCAGCAGAGGCAGCGCTTGCGCTGCCTGGGTGGCGGTGGGAGTGGCCGGCTCTTGGAAATCATCCTCTGCATCCGAGCTCGACATGGCATCATCCGGGGTGGCACTGACTTTGTTCTGCCCCGTGACTACCACCATCCCTCTGGCTCTGGGGAGCAGCTCTGCTGGGTAGGAGGCCGTGGCAGTGCTGAAGGGAGACCCAAATTAATCGCCCAAATCACCCCGATCCCCGGCGCGCTCCCCGCAGCGGCCGCGTCACCCCGAGCGCTCCCAGCGGCAGCGTTATTCCCGGGAGGAGGAGGAGGAGGAGGAGGAGGGATGCCAGGCACCCCGGAGAGGGCTGCGGGCAGGAACGCCGCTGGCACAGCTGCTCCAAGGCCCTCCAGCCGCGGAGCCGCTGGCAGGGGCTGGAAGAGCCCGGCATCCATTGGCTGCACGGTGCAGGGAGCGATTGGCTCCGGCGCGGCTCCGCAGGAAAATGTCATTTGCTGGGAGAATTTGGGTGGCCGCTGTCGCAGCCTGTCCCCCGCCAGGGGCGGGATGCAGGAACACGGCGCTGCCAGGGGCGGGATGCAGGGACGCGTCCCTGCCACATTGGCGGCACCCGGCCCCGTCTGTCACCTTCAGCCGCTCGCCGGCAGCGGGGAGGGCTCGGCTGGGCTCTGGAATTCCCTGGGAAATGGGAAAACCGGGATTTCTCAGCAGCCAGGGAAAGCAGGCGTTTCCCTGCCCGCTGCATCACATCACACCACGCACGGACGCGCACGTGAGACACGAGTATTGAACTCTCCTCAGCACGCTGCTAATTAATTATCGATTGGATTTAACACCTCCAAGGCTTCTCGGTCCATCCTCAACGGGAGAATGGGATGCGCTGAGACACTGCATGATAAAAATAATAATTGAAAGAGCCGACTAGCAAAGAGAAGCCCGCTGCTCTCCTTACACTGCATTATGTAAAATCCCTGTTCCCAGGGTGTCTCCAGCAGCATCGCAACTCCCTAACAAAGACATTCCACCACCAGAGGCTCTACCCACCTCCAAACCTTCTTTCAAATCACTATAAAACATAGAAAGACGATTATTTGCAAAACCACATCTGGCATATTTATTTATTAACTAAAGGATGCTTCCCCTCAAAATCAGCAAGAAAAAAATGATATAAAATTTTTTAAATCTGCCTTAATAATTCTGCTAACAGACATTGTGCACACCATTAGATCTCAGCTCTTAAAAGAAATATTGAGTTCAGAGTGAACCCAGAGACAGAGCTGGGATACTCCTGAGCAAAACAGGTACTTTGCACAGACCTGATCAGACCAAAATCTACAGTTCTGTGGGAGTGTCCACAGCCTTCTTTCCCCAAAATTCGGAGATGAAATCTAGATCCTGTTTAACACCCTAATAAACATAGATAAGAAGCTACTGTGAAGTTCTAAACATTTTTGTTTAAGCTGCAGCTCATTAATAGGGTTGGCTCAGCTCAGAGAGGGATTTAATTTCTCTACAGTTCATAATCATTTTTCCACCCCAGTCCAGTGCACAAGCAGATGAATAAGGATGGAAGTGCTTCTGAAGAGCCACACCCTATTAACAATTTTAATATTTGTCCTATAACAATCATCATTAGTTACCATACAACTCAACTATGCCTCACAAATAAAGAATAGACACAATATAAATAAAGGAGTATTTTGCTAGGGATTCCTTTAAGGAGGTAAACAAATTATCAGCCAGACAGAGGTTGCAGAACAGAATTTATAAGATGCACAGTCAAAAATTGAGAGTGAGCCTGTATTTCCTGTGAATGTGTTATTTATAAAGCTGCCACCTGACACCAGTGCTTTGGCTGCTATTTCTAGGTTTCTTTAAAGTGCTCAAAAAGAACACAAGATTGACCAAAAATGTGTTGTCTGCATTTTTTCAAGGATGTCCCAGAGATTTCACTTAAATGAAGTGTAGTGTGAATAAACACTCACTCTATTAACTATATCAGCATTATTGACCACAGAATGGGTTTTTGGGGTAACTTCATCCATTTGGCACTGCACCAAAAAGGGCCTCTTTCCTAACAGAGCTAAAGGCTGAGAAAAAGAGATTTTTCTCCCTCTTTCATAATCTCCTTCAATATGACACCAGGGCTTAAGAAAAAAAGCCATGAGACAGCATTAATTATGTTCTGCTCAGGATTACCAACCTTCTCTGCCATTGGAACAACCCCTCAATAATGAGGTTTAGACTATCATGAGACCAGGAATTTGAAAACAAGCTTAGTGGCAATAAAAAGATCAATGACTGACAAGTTGAACCTGTTTTGTGACGTTCATTAAAAGGTGAGTGAAGTCCCTCTCTAGGCTGGCTTCACCTGTTCACCCAGGGAGCAGTGAAACAGAGCTGTGCTGCCAGGAGCAGAGTCCTCCTGAAAGAAAAGCAGAAGTTAATCTCTGCATTTCATGAAGAAAACACATCCATCTGAATCCCAGAGTAGTTTGGATTGAACTGGACCTGAAGGATCATCCAGTTCCACTCCCTGCCACATCCACAGACCAGGTTGCTCTAAGCCCCATCCAAACCTGGGCTGATCCTTTTCTTTGCACTTAAAGCACGTGCAATAATTATTTTTAACTATGTGCAGAAATGTTCCCTTGTTAAATCTCTCATTAAATTTACGGAATTTATTTATTTAAACTAAACAAATGCCTCTATTTCACTTTCAAATACATCTAGGTCTAGATCAATAGTTAATGGGAAAACACCACCAATAAACACAATTATAATCAAGTCAAATATCACATCAGCAGCATCCAACTCTATCGGAAATGCCTCCTTCCAGTTCTTCCACCTGTCGTCTAAAAGCAGGGATTGCTTCCTGGAGCTTTGTTGGGGACAGCTCAGATATTGTTCCACACACAGCAGAAAACCTCAGTAAATGAGCTGGCCCTGCCAGTTTGGCTTCATTCCTCAGAGAATGACAGCAACCCTTGAATTGGGCTTGATGCTAAGATTTATAAAAGCTTTCCAAGGTTCTGCTGTTCTCTCAACTTCTCCATATTGGTTTCAACAACTTTTTCTTAAATACCTTCTGAAGTTGCACTAGTATTGGCAAAGTTACAAACCCCAAAGTTACAACCCCCCCCAAAAAGTTACATAGCAATAAAAAAAATGACATAATTGTTCTACAGTCAAAAGGCTTTTTAATCAAGGTTCTGATGTATCAACCCATCACAGGAGTCCCAGACAAACTCCTGGTCAAAGGTAACTCTCTGGGATGTGCTTCTTTTGGGAAGATACCAACTGCATTGTTAGAAGGCTCCCCCTTTTTAAAGGGAAACTGGGGTAGAATGAGACCTGATTTAGCAGTGTCTGCATCACCAACTTCAAGAGACACAGATGACTAAAAGGTTTGTGTGAACACGGAGGGAAAAGACAACATCCAGTAAATTCCAGTGAATCTGTGTTAGAACAGCGAAGAAACATTTAGGAAGAAGGGCAATAAATCGTGTGCTCAGAGCCAGCTCCGAGCAGCACGGGCATCACCCACAGCGGCTGCACGGGGCACCACGAGTCGGGCAAATAACCAGCAGTTCATTAGAAACTAATTAAAAATCAACTCGTAGCTCTCACCTGGCCAGGGTGACACTGCTGGCGAGTGGCTCCCCTCGCCCCTCCAGCCCCGCGGCCTCCCCGCCGCTCCCTCACCTGCCGCGGGGCGGAAGCGGCGCCGCGGCCGCGGGGAAAGCCCCGCCGGGGGTGGAGGGAGGGATGAGGGAGCGATGAGGGAGCGATGAGGGAGCGATGAGGGGAGCGGGGCCGGCCGTCCCCGCCCGCGCTCACCTGGTGCCCGCCCGCGGCCGCGGCTCCGCTCGGGCCCCGCCTCACGCACCCATCCGGGTCCCGGCGGGAGGAGCCGCCCGGGCGGCCCCGGGCTGCCCTCAGCCGGCTCCGGGGGAAAGCCCCGGTGCTATGAGGGTCCATGAGCGGGTCTGGCTCCGAGGGAAAGCCCCGGTGCTATGAGGGTGAATGAGCGGGCCCGGCACCGGGGCTGCCCTCAGCCGGCTCCGGGGGAAACCCCCGGTGCTATGAGGGTCCATGAGCGGCCCCGAGGGAAAGCCCCGGTGCTATGAGGGTGAATGAGCGGCCCCGGGCTGCCCTCAGCCGGCTCCGAGGGAAAGCCCCGGTGCTATGAGGGTGAATGAGCGGGTCTGGCTCCGAGGGAAAGCCCCGGTGCTATGAGGGTGAATGAGCGGGTCTGGCTCCGGGGGAAAGCCCCGGTGCTATGAGGGTCCATGAGCGGGTCTGGCTCCGGGGGAAAGCCCCGGTGCTATGAGGGTCAATGAGCAGCCCCGGCTCCGGGGGAAAGCCCCGGTGCTATGAGGGTCAATGAGCGGCCCCGGGCTGCCCTCAGCCGGCTCCGGGGGAAAGCCCCGGTGCTATGAGGGTCCATGAGCGGGTCTGGCTCCGGGGGAAAGCCCCGGTGCTAACGGGGGTCAATGAGCGGCCCCGGGGCTGCCCTCAGCCGGCTCCGAGGGAAAGCCCCGGTGCTATGAGGGTGAATGAGCAGCCCCGGCTCCGGGGGAAAGCCCCGGTGCTATGAGGGTCCATGAGCGGGTCTGGCTCCGAGGGAAAGCCCCGGTGCTATGAGGGTCCATGAGCGGGTCTGGCTCCGGGGGAAAGCCCCGGTGCTATGAGGG